CTTAACTGTTGGTGGGACTGTAAACTAATAAATTCTCTTTGGAAGGAAGCATGGAGAATGTCACAGAACTCAAATTAGACCTCCCATTTGATTGTGCAATCCCATTACTAGGCATCTACCAGAAGAAAAAAAAAAAAATTTTATCATAAGGACATTTGCATTCGACTGTTGCAGCTCAATTTACAATCATCAAAATGTGGAAACTAGCTAACTGCCCACCAACCCAGGAGTGGATTAAAAACACTATTCAGTCATTAAAAAGATGGAAATGTCGTATCTTTTATAGTAACCTGGACAGAACTGGGATATATTCTTCTTAGTAAAGCAACACAAGAATGGAGAAGCAGGAATCCAATGTGTTCAATTCAACATTCAACAGGGGGTTCAACAGTAGAGTATGTCAAGTAGATGAAAGGATCAGTGAATCTGAAGACAGGCCAATGGACATCATACAATCAGGAACAAAAAGAAAAAAGAATTTAAAAAAGTGACACCATTAAGAGGCTTATGGGACACCATTAGGTGGCATTACTGATGTATCAGAAGGTGCAAAGGAAGAGAAAGAGATGGAAAACACATTCAAAGAAACAATGGAAGAAAACTTCTCAAGTCTGGGGAACAAAATAAAAATCCAGATTCAAGAAGCCCAAAGGACACCAAATAAGACGAATCCAAAGAGACCCACACCTTAACACATGATAACCAAATGTTCAAAAGCTAAAGACAGAGTTTTTAAGTAGCAAGGAGAACAGGAATTGCTATGTCCAAGGAAACACCTGTAGTGTTATCAGTAGATTTTCAGGAGAAACTCTGCAGGCCTTGGGAGGGGAATGATATATTTAAAATCCTGAAGGAAAAATGTTGCTAAGAAAAAATGCTATAACCAGAAATTGTCTCTTTCAAAAATGAAGAGGTGATAAAGACTTTCTCAGATAAATAAAGGCTAAGATAACTTATCTCCACTAGACTTGCCTTACAAGAAGTGCTATGCAGAGTTCTTCAAGCTCAAGGAAGAGGATGCTAATTAGTAACATGAAAACAAAAGATATAATATGTAAAAGTATACTGTCAAATTCAAAATACTCTAAGACTTCAATGGCAGTGAAAGAAATTAATTATAGAAATTATTAGAAACAATGAAAGATTCAATAACTTGTTAAGGATAAAAATTTACTGTCACATCAAAAACAAATTGTGGGCCAAGGTAAAGTAAAAGTATAGGGTATGTGTATACAATCAAAGTTAAATTGTTACCAGCTTAAAATGGCATCTTATGATGTCTTAGGTTAACCAAAAAGCAAAAGCCTGTAACAGACACACAAAAAATAAAAAGAACAAATCCAAAGCATGCATTGCCAAAAGCCATCAAATCACAAAAGCAACAGAGTAAGAAAGGATCGGAACATCTCCAAACAACCAGAAAACAAGTAACAAAATGGCACTAGTAAGTTCTTACCTAAAAATTATCATTTTGGATATAAGTGGGCTAAATTTTCAACTAAAGGCACAGAATGGCTAAATGGGCACACAGAACAAATGTTCCTACAAGAGCCTCACTTCATGTTAAAGGAAACTCACAGACTCAAAGTAAGGCATGTAAAAAGATTCTATGCAAATGGAGAGAGAAGAGAGAGCAGGGGCAGTTATAGTTTTTTAGACAAAACTGACTTCAAGGCTCAGCGCCTATAGCTCAACCGGCTAAGGCACCAGCCACGTACACCTAAGGTGGCGGGTTCGAATCCCCAGCCCGGACCGCCAAACAACAATGACGGCTGCAACCAAAAAATAGCCGGGCGTTGTGGCGGGCGCCTGTGGTCCCAGCTACTTGGGAGGCTGAGGCAGGAGACTCGCTTGAGCCCAGGAGTTGGAGGTTGCTGTGAGCTGTAATGCCATGGCACTCTGCCCAGGGGGACAGCTTGAGGCTCTGTCTCAAAAAAAAAAAAAAAAAAAAACTGACTTCAAGGTAAAAACTGTAAGAGACAGAGAAGGTGATATACAGTGATACACACGGTGATATATAAGTGATAAATAAGTCAATTCATCAACAGGGTATAACAATTATACATATACACATACTCAACACTGGAGCACCTAAACATATAAAGCCAACATGAAGACATCTGAAGGGAGACATACACTGCACCGTAATAACAGTAGGGGATTTCAGTACCTCACTATCAACATTGCATAAATTATCTGTGCAAAAAAAGGTCAATATACAAACACTGGACTTGAACTACAGTTAAATTTAGAGCAAAGAGACCTAAAAGACATATACAAAATAGGGTGCCCAATAGCAACAGCATATAAATTCTTCTCAGGTGCACACCAAATAATTACCAGGACAGATCATATGTTACGTCACAAAGAAAGTCTTCAAATGACTTATATCATCTTAAATTTGTTAAGTATCTTTTCCAACCACAATGGTATGAATCTAGAAATCAATAACAGGAATTATTAAACAATTAACAAATAAGTAGATATTAAATAATATCTCCTGAACAATTAATTGGGTCAAAAAAGAAACTAACGAGAAATTTTAAGGTATCTTGAGATAAACAAAAATAGAATACAACCCAAAACTCAGGAGATGCCCCAAAAGCAGATCTAAGAGAGATGTTTGAGACAACAAAAGCCTACATCAAAAAAGAATAAAGATTTCAAACAAACAGCCTAATTTCATACCTCAAGGAACTAGAAAAAGAACAAAGTAAGCTCAATGTTAGCAGAGGAAAGGAAATAACAAAGTTCAGAGCAGAAACAAAATCAAATTGAAACTGGAAAAATAATAGAAAAGATCAGTAAAACAAAGTCAATTTTTTTGAAAGCTGACAAAACCTTGTAGCTAATCTAAGAAGACTAAAATCAGAAATGAAAGAGGAGACATTACAACTGATAACACAAAACCACAAAGGATTGTTAAGAAACTACTATGAACAATTATATGCCAACAAACTGGACAGCATTAGAAGAAAACAAGATAAATGCCAAGAAACATACAACCTACCTGGAATGAATCACAAAGAAATTAAAAATCTCAGCAAATGAGTAAGGAGACTGAATCAGTAATTAACAGTCTCCCATCACAGAAAAGCCCAGACCAAATGTCTTCACAGCTGTATTCTAGCAAACATTTAAAGAAAAACTAATAATAATCCTTCTTAACCTTTCTGTAAAAATGAAGAGCTGCATACTTCCAAACTCATTTCACTTGGCCAGAATTAATTACCCTAATATTGAAGCCAGACAAAAGACACTACAAGAAAAGAAACTACAACCAATATCACTGACAAAGGAGGCCAAAATCCCCACCAAAATACTAGCAAACTATGTTCAGCAGTACATGAAATTCACTAAGATAATGGGATTTACCCCTGGGAAGCAAGGTTGGTTCAACAAAGGTAAATCAATAAGTGTGATCCATCACATTAATAGAACAAAGGACAATAACCATATTATCATTTCAGTAGATGCAGAAAAACATCTGACAAAATTTAACATTGTTTTATTTAAAAACTCTCAAGTACTAGGCATATAAGGAATGTTCCCCAACACAATACAGGCTACATATGAAAAGTTCAAGCTCATATCATACTCTGTATAAAGCTGAATGCTTTTCTGCTAGATTTAGGAACAGGGCAAGGATGTCACTCTCACATACTTCTGTTTAACATAGAATTACAAGTCTCAGCCAGAGCAATGAGGCAAGAGAAAAAAATAAAGGCATCAGGATAGAGAAGGTGAAGTGAAATTTTCTGTTTGCTGATGACATAATCTTACATATAGAAACTCCTAAAGATTCCACCATAATAAAAATCAGAATTGATAAATAAATTTTTAAAAATTGCAGGATGTAAATTCACCTTACAAAAATCAGTAGCATTTTTATAATGGTCTGAAAAAAATTTAAGAAGTCAAATTTATAACAGCATTGGAAAAAAAGAAAAATTTTAGGAGTAAATTTAACCTAGGAAGTAGAATTCCTGTATCATAAAAACTATAAAACATTGAGGAAAGAAAATGAAGATGACATAAATAAATGAAAAAATATCTTGTGTTCATGAACTGTTAAGAATTGATATTCAATGCCATCCTTACCAAAATTCCAACATCATTCTTCACAGAAATAGAAAAAAAAAAATCCTAAACTGTATGGAACCACAAAAGACCACAAATAGCTAAAGCAATCTTTTCCAAAGAGAATAAAACTGGAGGTGTCACAATTTCAAAACATTACAAAGCTACAGTAATGTAAACAACATAGTACTGGCACAATAACACACATCAACTAATAGAATAGGAGAGACAGCTCAGAAATAAACCCACATATCTATGGTTAACTGATTTTCAACAAAGGTGCCAAGAATACACAATGGACAAAAGACAGCTGCTTCCACAAAGGTGTTAAGAAAACTGGATGTCCATATACTGCAGAATGAAAATGTACCTTTCTCTTACCCCTTATATAAGAGAATCAACTCGGAATGGATTAAAGACCTAAAAATAAGAACTGAAACTATAAAAATACTAGCAGAAAACACAAGACGAAAGATCAAAGGCAGACATTTCTTGGAGATGACTCCAAAGGCACAGGCAACAAAAGGAAAGACAAATGAGATTGTATCAAAGCAAAAAGCTTCTACACAGCAGGGAAACAATGAAGAGACAACCCAGAGACTGGGAGAAAATATTTGAAGGCTAGGTAGGCATAGTGGCTGATGCCTGTAAATTCCAGAACTTTGGGAGACCAAGACAGGAAGATTTCTTGAGACCAGGAGTTCAAGACCAACCTGGACAACATAGTAAGACTTCATTTCCACAAAAATTTAAAAATTGAGCACTGTGGGACACACCTATAGTCCTAGTTGGGAGGATCACTGAACTTGGGAGTTGGGAGGTTTCAGTGAGCTGTGATGAAGCCACTGCACTCCTGTCTGGACCAACAGAGTGAGACTTTGTCTACTGATTTCCAAATGGGGAAAAGATAATCTTTTCATGTACTTGCTTTAAAAGCACATACACTAAAATCAGAATGATACAGAGAACATTAGCATGGCCTGTGTGCAAACAAAGATGACACACAAATTGGTGAAGCAACAAACCATGCTGGGAAAACTAGATACCCACATGCAAAAGATTGAAGTTGGACCCTTACCTATAAAAGTTAACACAAAAAGGATTAAGGAGCTAAAACTATATAAAATTCTTAGAAAAAAAAAAAAGAAAAACTTGTATGATCTTGTATTTGGCAATCATTCTTTAAAGATGGCTCCAAAGTATGGGTAATAAGAGAAAAAATACATAAATTAGACATTCTCAAATTGAAACCTTCTGTGCATCAAAGGATACTATCAAGAAAGTGAAAAGAAAGCCGGGTGTGGTGGCTCATGCCTATAATCCTAGCATTGGGAGTCTGAGGCAAGGCAGGTGGATTGCCTAAACTCATGGGTTGGAGACGAGCCTGAGCCAGAGCGAGACCCCATCTCTAAAAACAGCCAGGCGTTGTGGTGGGCACCTACAGGTGTAGTCCCAGCTACTCAGGAGGCTGAGGTAAGAGACTCTCTTAAGCCCCAGAATTTGAGGTTGCTGTGAGCTATGATGCCACCGTACTCTACCAAGGGTGACAAAGTGAGACTCCACTTCAAAAAAAGAAAAAAGGACAACTAATAGAATGGGAAAAAACATTTGCAAATCAGTTATCTGATAAGGAATATCTAAAATATTAATCACTATATAAATGCAAATCAAAGTTATAATCAGATACAATTCTACACTCAATAAGGTGGCTATTATCCAAAAAATATAGAGGAAAACAACAAGTGTTAGTGAGGATGTGGAGAAACTGAACTCTTGATAATTACTGGGGGCATATAAAATGGTGCATTCACTGTGGTTTCTTAAAAACTTAAAACACAAAATTTCCATGTGATACAGCAAGTCCATTCCTAGGTCTATACTCCAAAGAACTGAAGGCACAGTCAGATACTGGCACACCCAGGTCCTTAAAAAGCATTACGCAGGATACTCAAAAGGTGGAAACAACCTAAATGTCCCTCAACAGATGAATGGATAAACAAAATAAGGTACACTCCTACAACAAAGTATTACTCAGCCATAGAAAGAAATGAAATTCTGATACAGGATACAACGTGGATGAACACTGAAGACATTATGCTAAGTGAAAAAAGCCCTATTTCACTTATATAAGGCACCTAAAATAAGCCAATTCATAGAGATAGAAAGTAGAATACAGGATACGAGTGAATGGGATGAGAAAGGATGGGAAGTTATTGTTTAACGGGTATAGAGTTTGAGATGATAATAAAGTTCTAAAAATACAGTGTTGGCTCGGTGTCTGTAGCTCATTCGTTTGGGCGCTGGCCACATACAGAGGAGCTGGTCACATACAGCGGAGCTGGTGGGTTTGAACCTAGTCCGGGCCTGCTAAACAACAATGACAACTGCACCCCCAAAAATAGCTGGGTGTTGTGGTGGGTGCCTGTAGTCCCAGCTACTTGGGAGGCTGAGGCAAGAGAATCACTTAAGCCCCAGAATTTGAGGTTGCTGTGAGCTATGATGCCACCGTACTCTACCAAGGGTGACAAAGTGAGACTCCACTTCAAAAAAAGAAA